AACAAAGACACAACATTTGTACAAAGAATCAAAATCACATCAAGGTTCATTCACTCATTTCTCCACAGGAGTATTCTCATTCACAAGGCCTTGGATTGTAATCAGATAGTAACCAGGCTTCAGAATATATGTACAGTAGTTTTGTTACAGCTACATACATTGTTATATATATATATATGCAAAGTGTTCATTTCCTGCTCCTTGCTTCTGACTCTGGAATACATAGGGTGCTTACTCAGAGTTAGAAAGGCAACTCATTGTAGAAGTAAAAAAAAAAAGGCTGTGTGGTACATAATACAAAGATAAGGGCACTAAAAAATTAAAGAAATAGTTTTAGTTCAATTCTAAACCAATCTTCATCAGGCTGTACAACAATATATTGTGAATATTGCAGAATATTCCAGAGCTGGAGTCCCAGAGGCAGTTCGTGTCATTCTTTCAACTCCTGCGACGTTGCTGAAACCAGTTGTATTGGCTCTTGCCTTTCCATTGGACTATTTCAGTAACGTGGAGAAGGGGGATTTGCTACTTGGATAACAGACTCTCCTCCATATTATTTCACCAAGGCTTCGTGGTCTGGAGAGGACACTCCAGCTTCGCCTACAGCGTCAAAACACTAGACGCTGTTCCAAGTCCTCCATACAGAGCATGCTACCATATTCTCTTGAGACTGAAGGATGCTTATGATGATTACAGAATATATATATATCATAGGCATCCTCCTAAAACAAAGGGCTGCAATTGATCTGCATTTACTTCCCCAAATGCCTTATTTTGAAACTCAAACGTTTTTATTTGATGGGAGTGTGGGGAAAGGTAATACAGAAATGGTGGCAAACCGCCATCAGAGAACTGGGAATAAAATGGGCCAAATACTCACCGTTCAGTGAAGCTTCGTAATGGCCGGCAGCCATTTTTGCGCCCTCGCCTCGCTTAACGAGGGCGCGAAAACGCTGCGCGTGGCCATTTTGGGCCATTTCCGGGCTGATCGTCGGGCTTCGTTTTGCGAAGATCAGTAAGCGAAACGCTTACCAGTCTTTGCAAAGCGAATTTAGCCCTATTTAAAAAACGTTAAGCGATCGCATTAGCAATCCGAAAAAACGGATCGCTATGCGATTTCGTCGTTATGCGATGCACTCATTAAGCGAGGCACCACTGTATTAGCTGGAAGGACATGTTATCTTCAGTTGACTTTTACCTGTTTTCTTATAAAGCACAAATTATAGCTAGAGATGGGGACCATCTTGGTTCGTGGGTCATCAAACGTGATGACCCACAATCCATGAATGACCCCACCCCTGTGGCATGACGAAGCACGAATCTTAAAAAAAGAAGAAGCCACGGCCTCCACAGTCTGCCCCCAACCCTCTTCCCACTGCCACTTACCTTCCCAGGTGCCTCCTCCTGCTCCGTGGCGACTTCCACGGAAACAGAAGCTAGACTGCTGGAACCGCGGTTTCAGTTCCAGCAGCCTAGCTTTCGCAAGGAGGAGCGGGGAGGGCTTCCCTTCCAGCAAGACTGAGGCGATCCTCCCCGCCACTGTCGTTCCACAAACAGCAGGGGTGGGGGGTTGCTTCAGTCAGGCTCCCCTCATCCTTCTGTGCCCCAGCGGGCATAGAAAGACAAATGAAATGGGACCCAAGCAATTCCCCACCCTTTGGTCAGGTTTACCCTGTCTATGCTGCAGGTGCATAAAAAGACAGGGGGAAACTGAGCAAAGCAATACCCCCTGTCTTTGTAAACAGGGGGGTGGGATTCCCTTTGGGCAGGCATTAGAAAGTTACCCAAAGGAAAAACCCTTCTCTGTTTATGCCGCTGAGGAACAGTTGATCTGTGGGGGCATAAGCAGATAGGGATAGACGAAGGGACTAATATAAAAGGGTCATATTCGTTGCTTTGTGAGTTTCTGGACCTCAAGGGTACGAAGCAACAAACATCTGATGAATCAGGGTTATTCACTGAATATTCCAATTCGTTCTGGTATTCGTCCCCATGTCTAGTTATTATAACACAACTGAGGCAGGCACAGAAACCCACAAGATTCCTGCCCCTATTGTAATACACTTTGATTAAAATGTTATAAAGTGGTTGACCTGGGCTCCACTTAGGACGACAGCTTCTGTTTGTTTATGTCCCGTAGAACTGAAATTCCATAGTTACAAACTGAATTCTAATATTTGTTTCTCCAGCTGAAGTGAATTTAATTTTGTAGCCTTTAGAAAGTTCATTTTAAAAGAACTTCATGTTTTTATGCAATGAATGGTATCTAGTTATCAGTATGCTTATCTTGGCCATTTAGTATACCTACATTTCTTTAAGGGTTGTTGTTGTTTATTCATTTAGTCGTGTCCGACTCTTCATGACCCCATGGACCAAAGCACGCCAGGCCTTCCTGTCTTCCACTGCCTCCCGGAGTTTGGTCAAATTCATGTTGGTCACTTTGATGACACTGTCCAACCATCTCGTCCTCTGTCATCCCCTTCTCCTCTTGCCTTCACACTTTCCCAACATCAGGATCTTTTCCAGGGAGTCTTCTCTTCTCATGAGATGGCCAAAGGATTGGAGCCTCAGCTTCAGGATCTGTCCTTCCAGTGAGCACACAGGTATTTAACTTATAAATTATAAATTTATATAAGTGGTTCCAGTGAACACTCAGGTATTTAATTTATAATATAATTTAAGGGTAATTACAGTATATGCAAAAAGCAAAAAAGATCATTTAAACAGAACAATCAACTAAGGACATTTTTGATAATTTAATTAAAAATAAAAAAGTTCTAGTTTTTTAAAAAAGCACAAGCACTGAAAGGGATTTGCAGCTGGCATTTCCTTCTTAATATTCAGATCTGCAATATATCATAGAATCACAATGGAACAGGAAGGGGCCTATAAGGTCATCTAGTCCAACCCCCTGCTCAGTGCAGGAATCCAAATCAAAGCAGAGCTGATTGCCCAGTTTTCTCTTGAAAGCCTGTAGGAATCTCCTATCATTCTGGCATTCACACTCTTAAGAAGAACAAAATATTTGTGATCAGGCTTTTCTTTCACATGCCTCTTCCTATGGGCCCTCATAAAATTCTTCATGGTGAGCTGGGCTATTTCTGAATGTAGGTCATAAAATGTTTATTTTACTTCTTCATCTTTTATTATTTGTTGCTGATTTTAGTCAGCCGCCCAGAATAGTGCATTGTACTCATGGGGTGGTATATACATGAAATAAATAAACGATCAATCTTCATTGCATCCTCAAGAGGCTCTTTTGGGGGCTGTCAGTGTCCAGTCAGGCTGACTTATTGAGGACTTCTGAAGGTGTGCATGTAGAGATACGTTCTCGGGTGGTATTACGGGCCCTGCTGAAGCTGTTATGGTCCATCTTGGACTGAAACGGGAGGCAGAATTCTCGGAAACACCTCTTGAAATTTTCATCCAGGAAAGCATAGAGTATTGGATTGAGGCTGCTGTTGGTGTACCCCAAGGCAATGCAGAAATGAAGGCTGGCCACCACATAGGGATTCTTCTTGTCAATGCCCACCAGGGTCCAAACAATGAAAAAAATATGGATGGGTGTCCAACAGATGATGAAAGCGGCCACCACCACCAGCACCATGTGTGTGATACGGCGCAGGTTGCGGTCTTTCTCCTTGGAGCCCGAGAGGAGGCGGACACTCTTCAGGCGGAGAATCATCAGCCCATAGCAGATGGTGATGACCAAGATGGGGATCAAGAAGGCAAAGATGAAAACACAGATCTTGGTCACTGTATCCCAGTAAATCTGAGGTTCTGGAAACTGGAGGAGACACATCACCATGTCATCTGAATGGAAAACAGAGGAAGTGTGTCAGGAGAGAAAAAATGGAGAGAGAGAGAGAGAGAGCTAAATTGTCAAGAAAATAGCAATTCTCTTGAGGAGGGGTTATAAATCAATAGCAGAGCATGTGCTTCACATATAAAATGCCCATGGTAAAGCAGTGGAATCTTTGGGAAAATCTAATTAGTTTTATTTTGTTTCGACATCTTTCTATGTCACGTTCTTTCTGTCCCAAACATGCAGTCGGTAGAAGCTTGAATCCTCTTTACATTGTGATGACATTCATAGCCCATAGGTTGTTAAATGCATTGAGGTTTTGAGGATGTATTTGAGGAGCAAGGCTGCAGACAACAAAAGGAGATGGAATAGCTCAGGGTTACCTCATGTGAAATCTAGTACCTCATGGCAACAATATTTTGGTCTGTAGCCTGCCTCTTTCATTACATCCAGGATTCCATGATGAAAAAGGATAGTCATCGTGAAAGTTTGCACATTCTTTCAAACCCCCTTTTTTCAACTCAGTAAAAGTATCAACCCTGTCTGGATTTTGAAAGCTGAAGAAAACAGAGATTGTGATCCTAGATAAACACAAACATCTTTACACAGCTGAAAGTCCATTGGTCAGAGATCTGAAAGTGAGACACCAGAAACTCTGAGTATAAGTGACAGATCTGTCACTTCTGATTCCTGCCTCCATGTATATACTGTAGAGTATATAAAAATAGAAGCAGAATGTAATACATTGAAAGGATCTGTCTATTGATCAATTCTTTCAACGTATGGCATCCTGCTTCCATTTTAACAAACAAACCAAACAGCATGCTTTAAGAAATACATTAATTAACATTCTTATATAAAAGTATGTGAGTTAACATTCTTATTTAAAAAATCAAATCAAAATATATTCTTCACTCCTCCAATTTTTGGATGTAATTGTTTAACAATAAAATGGAAGGGGCAGCATCCAGAATCTGATGGGTCAATGCAGCTGGGAAGTGTTGGAATCAGGCAAGTTTTCCCTGAGTTACTGGCAGCCTGAGTGGGTTTTTTAAGGGACGTGGTGGCACTGCGGGCTAAACCGCAGAAGCCTGTGCTGCAGGGTCAGAAGACCAAGCAGTCGTAAGATCGAATCCACGCGACGGAGTGAGCTCCCGTCGCTTGTCCCAGCTCCTGCCAACCTAGCGGTTTGAAAGCATGCAAATGCGGGTAGATAAATAGGGACCACTTCGGTGGGAAGGTAACAGCGTTCCGTGTCTAAGTTGCACTGGCCATGTGACCACGGAAGATTGTCTTCGGACAAAACGCTGACTCTATGGCTTGGAAACGGGGATGAGTTGAACACGACTGGACAAAAATTGTCAAGGGGAACCTTTACCTTTACCTTTACCTGAGTGGGTTTTTTAAATAGATTGTTGTACTTCACTGCTTTGGATGTATTTTGCTGTTGCTTTGGTTTACCATTTTTTTAGTGTTGTATTTGTATACTTGCTATTGTTATCTTTAAAGACTGCTTTTTAATGATGTGAGCCACTTTGGGTCCTTTTTAAGGAGAAAGGCAGAATATTTTTTTTAAAAAAATAAATATAATAAATAAAAATTTCCAAACCATACATACTTACCGTGAGATCTGGTGACTGCCATGATCATGATTGGCACTCCAATGGCAGAGGAAAGAAGCCAGATGCAAATGTTGATTAGTTTTGCTTTTGCCGGAGTTCGGAAATCTAGGGCTTTAACTGGATGGCAGACAGCTATGTACCGATCCACACTCATCATGGTGAGCGTAAAGATGCTCGTGAACATGTTGTAGTAGTCGATGGAGAGAACAGCCTTGCAGAGGAGCTCCCCAAAAGGCCAGGTCTCCATCAGATACTTTGCACTCTGGAAAGGCAATGTACTGGTGGCCAAAGCATCAGCCAGGGCCAGGTTAAAGATGTAGATATTGGTAGCTGTTTTCATTTTGGTGTATCTGGAAGGATGAGAAAAAGAGAGAGGAATGTGAAAGGCAGCTTGAACTGTACAGGAAAAAGACACAGATGGAAAGAGATGTAATGCAATGGCATCCTTCAGTCTCGAGAGACTAGGGTCACGTGCTCTGAATGGAGGATGTGGAACAGCCTCTATTTATTTATTTATTTACAATATTT